AGGCCTGACAAATTCCCAAAGATCAGCTAGTCTTCAGTCTACAGCAGAAAGACAAACTCACCAGCGAGAGAGAAGTCAAGCAGCAAGAAGCCTGGTATTCTCCTCTGCCTTGGTCTTTTATACCGGCTGCCGTCAGAAGGTAACGCCCACATTTAGGATGTGTCTTCGGCTTTAGATGATCCAATCAAGAAGATCTCTTTCATTTCACTGAATCCCAGATCCAATCAAGTTGACACCCAGGATTAGCCATCACACCAGCTCATATGCCTGAGCCCCTGAGGCTTCAAGAGGTTATATGTGCTGCCTGGTGAATACATGCTTGACACATTACCAAGTGCTCCTAGGGGCAAAACAGCCAGGCAGCCTCCCTGGGGGAGGAGGCCTTGGAAAGTCACCCAAGGTGCCTACAACTGCTAGAGAGAGACTCTCCAGGTCCACCCCTGACAAGGTGGTTCATCATTTAGAAATATCTCTCACAGGAAAGTACATGACAAGGCAATTTACAGAGGCAGAAATTATCCAAGAGAGAATTTTGCCCCTCTCATGGCAATGAGAAATTCTTGCTCACTCTGTAAGGCTGAGCAAGGGCTCAGAAGAGTGTTTCCAGAGGGCAGTGATTTCAAAGGAGGTTTGAGTTCTCTGACCTGTCACTGTTCTGTGGAAACACTTGGACAAATGTATAAAGTCATGTATGACAAGTGAGTTCAAGGCACCTTGATTAGAAACAGCTTGAGTGACTATCAGCAAGGGACCAAAAGGACCATCATCAGGCCCATTCCCAGGAGTCATCTCTAGATGAAAAAAAAAAGCCAGCCTGAATATACACCATGATCTAGTTTCTTGTCTAGCATACTTGAGATCTTGGTTCAATTCCCCAGCACTGAAAATAAATAATAAATAAATAGATGCAAAGCAAAGAGGCCAGGCATAATAGTTCTTGTCTATAATCCTAGTATTTGGTAGAGTGAGCCAAGAACATCAGGAGTTCAAGGTCATCTTTGGCTACATAAGCCAGTTTGAGGCCAGCTTGGACTATAGGAGTCCCTGTCTCAAAATAAAAAACACCAATAGAGGGGCTGAAGAGAAGGCTCAGTGGTTAAGAGGGTTTGCTACTCTCCAGCAAACTGGAATTCAACTTCCAGCGCCCATGGCAAGTGGCTCATAACTGCCTGTAGCTCCAGCTCCAAGGGAGCCAATTCCCTCTTCTGGACTCTGTGGGCACCTGCACTCATGTACACATACACACACAGAGATACACATACATAACATATAATTAAATCTTTTTAAAAATGCCAATAGAACTGGAGGGAATTGTGTTGGTCCAGAGACCTACTGAAGAATTGCATGTGCACTATCCCCACCTGAGTCCATGAGTATAGCTGAGGACTACATAACAAGAACCAGTGCCAGACAGGAGAAACCTTCCTTTGAGTTGTTGGCCAGGGTGGTTCAAGAGAATCCCAAAATTACACAGGATATTGCCACAGTCCTTGATTGCCTTCCAGAACCTGATGGTAAGACCCTATTGCTGAAGACAGGACATATTTTGGACACAGGATTTGGAACAATGGAGCTAGAACTGACCTGGAAGCCACCTCTCCTGAAGGTTAGCTCTCATAGCTACACAAGAGCACTATACAAGCTGGTAAGGGAGAACATCAATCAATAGTCCAACTCTAGCTTCAAGGCCTAAAAACCACATCAATGACCAGCATAGCAAACGAACTGGTGCAGTAGTGGTGCTCTTATCTTAGGGGTAATCAACAGCTACCTAATTGGACTTAAAGCTCACTCAATGGGAGGAAACTCATGAGTGGTACTGTAAATCTAGCCAAATACACATAGCTGGAGAGGTCATAGGTCTTAGGGAAAACCCAAAGGCTCTCTTATCCTAGATATATGTAATTTCTTACTATATGCAAAATATGTATCCTTAAATTTACAGACAAGTATCCCAAGCACTACCCATCAAAGTAGCTTCTTTTTCAACAGAGATTATTACAGAGTTTTACCACTGGCCACACACAGAGATTATCTGTGAATTGTCCAAGCCTAAGTGGCACATCCAGGATGCAACCTCCACACCTAAGACTCATAGGATGAAGAGAACACTAATGTATCTTTCAGTTCTCACCAAGGAAGCTCCCTCATGCAACAGAGGGCCAGGAACACAAATGGCCAAAGCA